AGGTACACGGCATGCTGTGACCATATCACACACCGTACATATATTTGCTCCTTCGACAAGGTGAAGTTTTCTGGCAGCAGTGGTGTCCCTGCATCTTTTTTCAGATACACATCAGCCAGTTTGCTGTTGTCACTATCACCCTAGTTTAAAAAAAAAAAATGACACAGCTATAATACTATAAATGCATTTTTAAATTTGCAACTAAACATAGTACGAATAAAATGCAAATTAAAATTTATGTCATGAAAATATCAGAGACTGCTATCATTTCATATCTTATGAGTATAATTACACATAGTGTGGCTCAATTTTTGGGACAAGTAGTGACTGAATGGGCTCCCTATGGTAGGGCACTAAACAGTTTGTGTGACTCAATCACTTCTGGGATCAGTGGTGGGTGAATGGGCTACCGATGGCAGCGCACTAACAATTTCGAACTTGTGGTGGCCGAGGGGGCTATTTATGACAGTGCACCAGTAATATTTTTGTGACATGCTAACAATGACCTAAGAATTTAAGGTGTGAAAAAGAACATTTAGAAACAAATAATTGCACAATCTGCCAGGATATATCAACAAGTCCATTGGTTGTGGGATCAGTGGGCGCAGCAGGTCTTAACCATGAGGTATGGTAGTTAAAATTTATTTACTTTGTTATTTATTTAGGCACAAGGGCCATGGATTGCCAATTAGTGAATACATCAGTCTTTTAAAGTGACAACCCCTTTTAAACTTAGACTCCGGAGGAAAAAAATTGTTGATGCGTTGTAGAACTGATTTTAAAACTGGGGGTAAAAAGGTGTAAAAAAAGGCGGTTATGCCCCGTTTTACCCCAGTAAAATATTCAAAAATCTGTATTTCATTCACCGTTCCCCAGTTTTAGTCAAACAACTTTTTTTTTGTCATAGAAAAATCAGTTCTAGAACATATCAAAAATTCTTTTTCCTCCGAAGCCTGACTTTAAAAGACAAACATAAACACAAGGTGCTTGTGATGGGGCTAAAGGAAGTGGATGGTAATGAGAAAAAAAATTTTGCTCTGGACCATTTATATTTTGGCACAGGAATTTGGATGTGAAAAATTCAGGGAATTAAACATTTTTCAATTACAGCATTAATCATTTTTCAATCATAAATTACCTTGTACATGAAAACTTGATTATCTTCTTTTTAACATAAAGTGGAATCGGCCAAATAGCAGCCTTTGCTTCAGTATCTGCAAATTTACAATTAAGCAATACAAACTTGTGAATACGTTATTTATTATAATGTATTTGATGCTTTAATGATAGGATGTATTATAAAGTTAACTAATTAACTACGTTCTGCAAATTAAAATTTAGATGAAATCAACATGGGTCCAATGTGTGATTGATTCCTTCTTGAAATGGATCAAGAGAACTACAGATTTTGCCCTGAAAATGAGTTGAGACTACAAAGGCATCAAAAAGCAGTTACGTCTAAAAATATTAGAGCAAAGCGACATGGACCCCTGACAGGCAAGGTTGTTAACCTCCCCACCTCTCCCCTCCCCCCAACAACAGTAATGTTCAAATAATTGTCTATACTCTTGGACTGTACATTCGAATGCTGGTCACTTCAGCCCAAAACCAAATCGGCCCAAATCAATTTGGCCCAAACCAACTCGGACCAAAACTAACTTGGCCCAGGCGACACTTCGCCCTAAAACCAACTCGGAACAAAATCAACTTGGCCTAGGAAAAAAATATAGCCCTGAATAAATACATAGTTCTATCTGAGGGTAGAATTCAAATGAATTGAAAAATAGTTGGGTGGTCCCTGTGTTGTGAAATGAAGAGTTGACTTTTGTCAGTTTTTGTAAGGTGCTACGTTCATCGAAAAACATATTGGGTGTTGCCAATCTGAAATAAAATAAAAATAAATAATAAGAATAGCTATACTACTAAAATAATATCAGACCTATAAATAATTATAATATTTTTGCATGGCTTTCCACGTGTTTCTACAGCAGTTGTTATTTAATTGTAAAAATCATTAAAGTACAATGCAAGCCTATATATAGAACTTGCTTGGAAATTGTAACATATCATTTTAATATGACTACTTGAGGAGAACGAACAAGGCGGATCACCAAGGAACAGGGTTATTTCATCTTTGCAAATTTGCTTTTCTTGTGATCTATTTTGTCCTTCTTGTTAACAAGTTTTATAAATTGTATCCTACAGTAATTCAATTAAGTAAAGAATAATAATAATTTCTACCAAGTTAAACAAGGTTTTTTAGAGAAAATATTACCACAAAATTTATGCCAAATTGCGAATTTTTTTTTTTTTTTCGCAGTTGTTTTCACACATACTGAATATTCAGTACATTTTTATGTCAGGTAGGGGAAATTACACCTATAATTATTGTTATAATGATAATGATTTTATTAAAATAATACTATTAAAGTCACTCTGACCATAATGTCATAGTTAATTAGATTTTAATTGGGGTTTTTGACTTAAGTTCTGCGAACTTACAGTATATTAAAAAATCCATGCACACTTGCATCACCATCTAATGTAATTAATGTATTATTTAAGCATTTTCTTTAGTTTATCAAATTATAGCCTAATCATTAGGCAATATTTTATATTAAATTTTAAACATGTTTTCTTAATATGTTGCACACTTACTGTATACTCTAATCCTTTATATTATCATCTATTATCACATCAGATGGTGTAATGCATACTCCAGGTGCTGGGGTGGGCACGATCGTGTGGGGATTCGGTGTTTCGGTGCTGCTTGTGTCGTCATCAGGAATTATTCCTGATGATGGCATGATTGGTGTTGTGTCCCTGGGTCCCTGTATGGAGGCGTGCGTTATGATGCTTGGAATGTGTATTATGCTATCTTACCTGAGATTAATCAGTGGAACTTTTGGTTTTATTACATTATCTTGTAATATTGTTTGAATATACCTCATATTGCCTAATTTTGTATAATGATTAATTTGATTTATTGATTGTTATGTATAAGCATGTGTGGAAAAAAATCTAATATAAAACGAACAAACAAGGGAATAGAATGGAATGGATTTATTCGGTGTAAACACCAAGGATAGCCCACGAAAGTCTAGAAGACGACTTATTTCCAGTAGGGTCCTTCTGGTGGTGATTGAACAGTACAACGGGAGACAATCCCCTACTCTTTTCCGAAGAGTGTACTCGTCTCATCCGAAAGACGGTGCACTATTGTAACTTGTATTTCAGCACTCTAGCTGAATCACAAGGAGAGGCAGCGATGGGAATTGAACCGGGGATCTAGAGATCTCCACGGTTCAGCGCACACACAGTGGCTACCACCAGATTAGCCGACTGAGCTAAGCTGCTCAGGTAATCAAGTACAAAGTTTGGCGTCACTGTATTTAAATAGCAAATGAAAAATATAATTAAGAGAATCACATGTAGATCGTTGAAAACAAAAACCAAACTGAAAGTTGGAAAAATTAGACTGCACAACAGTATTAACGGAAAGAGTAAACAATTTAGCCTGGAAAGGAGCACACGAATATTAAACAAACAGCTTAATAACAAAGTTACGAAGAGTGTCAGGACCTGGAGATTTAGAGTTACTAAGATTTTTTGATGCAGAGATAACGTCAGATGGGGTGATATTTAAAAAGTCATGCAAGAGGTGAGGCAGTGAACATAGCAGTGAGGGTAGAAAAAGGAGAGTCAGATGAACATTTATTAGCAAATATCAAATCAATCTGCTAGGAAATAACTCGAGGTGAATTAATGGGTGTACCGTTGAGGGATTTAAAAGTTCGCGAGTAGGACTTACTGTATTGCTGGTTGGTAAGATGTTTTGTACTTTTGACAGCCAGTTACATCGCACGTCCATCGTAAATGGGGTCCGTGACCTCAAACATCAATATACACCTCATGAGTTATCGAATATCATTCGAAATGAATATCGTGATCGACCACATGACGAGTATTAAATAAAAAAGGTTGTGAAAATCACATCTATTATCGGTGTAATGACGATTGATTCCATACAAAGAATGTTTAACTTTACAAATAATTAATTTCATGCCATTTATCCTGTTCACACAATACCTATTTCACGTAAAATATTGATCGCAATGAATTTATATGCATGTAAAAGGAGCATCATATTGTTGGTTACATACTGATTACAGCTCAATTATCGGTTACAAACAATATTTAATAATGTTTAATGATGATTAAAAATCATGGTGTCTTTTATTTTTTATTAAATCAATTCAACAATAATAAAAACGATATTCTTAATTAAAGGTGATTGTAATAACGATAGCAATAATGATGACACTAATGCTAGCAACAACGGTAACGATAGCAATCAGGTAAAAAAATCAGGTAAAACAGAATTAAAACACATCGCCAATTAAAGGCAACATGTTTACAACTGGCAACATTATTAATTTATAGTTTACATTTGCTAAATAATAATATTATTTATTTTTTCTTTTTTTTGAAGGTACTTGAGTAGTAACCGAATAACTGAACTAAACCAAGGTGCATTCAGTGGTTTGACTAGTCTTCAAGAATTGTAAGTGACAATTTACAAGTTATGAAATCTATTATCATATCAATTATTTTTAATTAATGCATGATTGTTTATGATTGTGATAAATTGTAATAATAATAATATTATTTTCCCGAACTTTAAATCATACAAAAAAGTGTGATGTTTTTAAAACCAAATCACAATTCAAATGCAAAAAAAAAATAATATATATATGAGAATCTACAATTTTTAAATAATTGTTTTGTATACAGCATCTAATACTCAAATAATTCGGTAATTATATTTACATAAAAAATCCTGTAGCATGCATGACATTAGCCTACCGTTTCATTAAAAATCATGGTGTTTTTTTTATTAAATCAATTCAACAATAAAAATAACGATATTGGTAAAGGTGTTTGAAATAACAATAGCAATAATGATGACACTAATATAGCAACAACGGCAACGATAGCAATAATAGACTTGGACATAACACTATTATTATTACTATTATTATTATTATTATTATTATTATTATTATTATTATTTATTTATTTTTTTTATATATGAAACTCAAGGTACATTGACTGTTATTACATGAACACCTGAGAATTGAGAAAATTCACATAAGAACAGGACTAGTCATATAGCATTTTTCTTTTGTGATTGTTATCCCCTATTCAAAATGCCACCCACCTTATTTTTCAATGGCCAATATTCTCCACAACCAACGGCATACACTTTTTCAAACAGTGGCTTAATATAGTTTTTGATGTAGGGCTAAATAAACAGAAAACACATGGATGGAACTTCAAAGAAAAAAGTAATTATTACAAACAACTTTTTTCTGTCTTAGAAAAATAAGTTCTACAACATATCAAAAATTCTTTTCCCTCCAAAGCCCGACTTTAAAAGACAAACATAAACACAAAATGCTTGTGATGGGGCTAAGGAAGTGGATGGTAATGAGAAAAAAATTTTGCTCTGGACCATTTATATTTTGGCACAGAGATTTGGATGTGAAACGTTCAGGGAATTAAACATTTTTCAACTACAGCATAAATCATTTTTCATTCAAAATTACCCTGTACATGAGAACTTGATTATCTATTTTTAACATAGGTGGAATCGGCAAAATAGCAGCCTTTGATACAGCAATTAAAATAGCAGCCTTTGATACAAACTTTTGAATATATTATTTATTATAATGTATTTGATGCATTAATGATAGGACATATTATAAAGTTAACTAATTAACACACCAGTGAAAATTTAGAAGAAATTATCATGGGTCCAATGCAATTGATTCCTTCTAGAAATGGATCAAGAGAACTACAAAGTTTGCCCTGGAAATGAGTATTCGAATGCTCACTTCGGCCCAAAACCAAATCGGCCTAATTAAACCAATTCGGCCCAAACCAACTCGGACCAAAACAAACTCGGCCCAGGCATTACCTCGCCCCAAAACCAACTCTGCCTCAAACCAACTTGGAACAAAACCAACTTGGCCCAGGAAACAAATCTACAGTAGCCCTAAATAAATCTAGCTCTAGAATTCAATTGAATTGAAAATTTACAATTGTATTCGAATAATGCCAAACACAACATTAAAAATCTGAAAACCATTATAACATATATTATAAACTGTGTATGTAGCCAGTTTGAATTAAATGTACAGTAGCTGAATAAGTCTGTATTATTTGTGTATTTTGTTTCGCTTTATATTCATACAAATATATAGTACATTATTTTATAAAGGTATTATAAGATTCTTCCAAAAGGGAGCGGATGCCCGAAGCAAGTGGGCGTGCTCTAAACAATTTGTTGAATTTCTGCTCAAGGTGATAAACCATAGTGTAAATTGAGTTACTCTATGTTTAACTGATGTTATAAAGATCTAATACATTCAAGAGGAGGGGATATGGAAATTATGAACTTAAGAAAGGTAAGGCCTACACCTTCAGTAGAGCCTGAGCCTGTTGCTGGCAACACCACCGACAAGGCCGGTAAAATCGATATGCTAGTGGGCATGCAGGAAAAGGCTTTGAATAAGCTGGTAATAATGGAGGCTACATTGAATAAGGTGGAGGGAGATACTTAATCATTTCAAAATGATATCTGATTTATAGGGAGGTACGTAAAAGTCGGGGAACTACAGTCTGGTGTAGAGGTTCTTAATTCGGAGATAGAAGAAAATAAATACTGTATGAACTTTGTAACGTGTAAAATATGAAGAGTTTGTAAGCCTAGAGAAATCTGTTGGTGAAAATAAGGAGCAATTGAAAAAATGCATTAAAAATGAAGTCACAGAAAGATTGCAGTCGTCAATTGAGGATCTTGAAAATATGTCCAGAAGGAAAAACTTAGTCTGGGGGATTCCAGAGAAAGCGGAAGGGGCAAGCTGTAGAACTTTCATGAAAGACTTTAAAAAATGGCTTCAACATGAGTATTGACATAGAGCATGCCCATAGGATGGGAAAACAAGGGTCAAACCCTAGGTCAGTTATCATTAAATTTTTGAGTTATGTGGATAGAGAAAGAATTTTTAAAAATGCCCCGAAGATATTGAAACAGAAAAAATACAAAGGAAAGTTTATCACAGTGTCGGATGACGTGTCCACAAAAGTCAGGAAAGAGCTAGTAAGGGAGAAGATAAGATTAAGACACGAAGGTAAATTTGCGATGATACCCTGGTTGGTTCCAGCTGCTCTTGTACTATAACTAAGGATGCAGAGGGTAGATTTGTTAAAAAGACACTAAGGGATTTGGCATAATGTTATATGTTGGTTACATGTTGTTTTTTTTTATCTTTCCAGGTTTCTTTTCTCATTGAGAAATAATTTCCTAACAGTGTGGCTTTTAACTAAAACTTATGAAAAGAATGCTATTGATAGAGACTGGTTTGATTTTGAGATGATACCAATTTAAATAATGTACCTACACAAATTAACGCATTTCTCATGGTATACCTATTTTATCTACCAATTTAAATATAGGCGGATATGTGATTTACGTAGAATTCCTAAATCGTTAGATTTAAATTAGTATCGTTCGAACAATACATAACAAAATGATTAATCATTAACCCCAAAATAGTGGAATCCCAGTTAGCATCCTGTGAACTGTAGAGGGCTTTCCGACTTTAACAAACGAAGGGATGTTTTTAATTACTTAAGGGGAAAGAAATACGCAATATATTGCCTACAAGATACCCACTTTAC